AGCTACGCCACTGGTATTATGCAGTGGTATTACTTTAATCCTGAATTCCCCAAGGGGCTACTTTATGACATGCAAGCAAAGGCCTTCTCATCGCAGAGTACTTGCTAATGAAGGATGATCTACAATCTATGATGCTGTACCTTGTATGTGAATTTTCCTTACTGTGTGACAGTGATAGCAATAGGATGAAAGATCATAGTTGAAAGATAATATTATTAATAGCCATTCTGCAGTTTGTTTTTGGACTTCAGGGAAGAGTAGAGCACAAAGCATATTTTTGTTAATGTAAAAAAGGTAATTTTCAAGGAGTATGCTGAAAGAGTACAATATTAGAAGACACTTTATTATTAAACATTCAGAATTTGATGCTAATTTAAGTCCAGAAGCAAGTAAAAAAGAATTAATTGGTTGACTGCGAATTTATCTTAAACTCCAAAATGTGTTTGTATGACATACTAAAGAGGAAGAAGTTAGTGGAGAAGAAAGTTTTGTTATTACTTTAATAAATGCAAAAAGTACAAACCATTTTCTGATGGAAATTATATCAAAGAATGCATGACTGAAGCTTTTGAAATTGTACCCTCTAATGTCAAGTACAAATCTGAGAATATTATAAGAACATCTGAATGTATCGAATTTTTGTGCGCTGTTGTTGTCAGTGTTAAGAAACCATGATATGGTACATGTTAGCTCTCGATGAAAATAACGACTGAAGAGGCCAGTCTTATGTATGGATTACTTCCAAATTTAAAATTATTGAAGAGCTACTATTTTCAGTGAAAATTCTTAAAAACTGAACAACAGCTGATATATATGAAAGAATAAACAACAGCTGATATATATGAAAGAATTAAAAATTACCCAATGAGATAAAATTTATATCAGAACAAAATAGTCGCAACTGACTGAGCATCAAGTTTGACAGGGTAAAATGTTTTTGCATTAAAGAAAATTCTGGCTAAAATTGAAAAAATTACCCTGTTTACAATTTAATTGCTATTCATTGTAGTATGCATCAGTAGGCATTATATAAAAATCTCTTAAAAGTGACTCTCTTGCATTATTTAACTTGTAAATTTAATGCTGTCAGGGAGCTTGAAATGCACATACTTCGTGAACTTTCTTCCAAGATACTGAATCTGAGTAGAGAGCTATTCTTCACCATAGCAAACTTCGGTGGCTTAGTATAGAAAAAGTTCTTTAGTCAATATGGGGTTTTAAAAATTATATCATCATATTTTTATAATAAATTTTCCAGAATTAAGTGATAGGGGTTGGACTCCTGATTTTGCATTTGATATGAACATCGTGTGACACGCTAAAATAATTACAACTTAGTGTTACAAAGTAAAAACTTAAATGCTTAGTAAAATGATTGAATGGATTTCCGTTAAAGCTACAGTTGTTCCAGGTTGCACCAATGACTCAGAATACAGGTATTTCAATATGAATTTTATGTCAGGTGAATGGGCTGCATGAGTATTTTTTGTGGTTTTCCCTATGTGCAACATGAATACAGGCCAATTTTCCCATGAAAATCTTCCATAAAGACATTCTTGCCATTAGAGAGATAGCCATCCTGTGTTTAGTTGCATCCAGTTAAATTAACCAGTTGTTCCATCAACACTTATTTAAAAGAAAAGTCTTCTTTCCAACCACAAAATTATTTGAAATGTCAGAAAGTAAATATCAAGAATATAGTGAAATCATCGATGTACTGAATGGTGAATTTTCAAGATTTTGCAATTTTGAAATTATTTAAATAAGTTTGGCAGTAGTTTCTGATCCATTTTAATAGAAGTTAATAGTATACTGAAACTGAGCTACAACTTGAGATTATAGATGAATGCAGACAAATTCAAACAACTTAAGGATTTTACTTCAAAAATGTTGGTTATTTTAGATCAACCTACATAAGTGAACATTTTCTCTCATGAATCTCAACTGAAATATTTTATGATGAAGCATCACCAATGATCAATTATGAGCAGTTTTTAGTCTTTCCATAGCAAATTAACTCCTGAATTGTTTAAAAGAATATCAAAGATATAAAATGTTTGTGTCATTTCATGAAATTGTTGGTTGTTAAAATATTTTATTTCTTTTTGTTTTAGAGTTGACTTTTCTTGAAAATATTATTTTATATCTAAAAATGCTATTTTATATGCCATAAGCCTTTTCTTTTTTAATTTTTAATAAGCCTTTCATCCAGAAAGTTGGTCTATGCCTGCACTTAAAACATAAAGCCAGTACTTGCTATGTAAGTATTGAATCGATTTATCACTGTGCAAGAAAACAAATTTACAAAACAAGTTAATATCTAAAAGTTTATTAATGTAACTGTTTATGATTCAGGTTGAAGATAAAGCTTTCACTTTCCAATAAATATCACTAATAGATCACTAACCGCATTCTTTTAGTAATGAATGTTTTTGTGATGAGTCATGAAACTTATAATTCAGCAACAGCATGAATTGCAGTTAAGAAAGCATAGCAGTTAACTCTTATGTAACTCAAATTTGGATAAATTTATGAGTTAGACAAATTACTGGATGAAGGCCAAGAAGAAAGAGCATAATGGGAAAACTTTACTGTCTAAGAAACTTAAATAGTTGCTCTTAAAGAGTGGTGTTAAAGTTGTTGATGTTGTTTGGTGATAAAAGCCATCACTGAGCAAAGGTTGGATATTACTGATGCTCTGTTAAAGTGTAAAGGCGAAACCTGTGTCCTTTAAAGCCATGACATGACTCTCAGCAATCGAGTTAAAAGTGTGTTCCCAACTTAAGCACTGAGATATTGATGTCGTTTATGGCAAACAAAGCTGTCACAGTTTTTATTTATTTATTCTGATCACATATCTGTAATCAGAATAGGAAACATATCTTCTAAAGCTATTAGAATCTTTGGAAGGAGAATAAATTAAAGGAGAAATAAGTTATACCTTCACCAGGATTCAAACTTGGCCCACAATTTTCTGGCTGCTAACCAAATTGCTATCTGCTAAATCATGAGGGTACACATGAGAGAGGCCATAACTTCTTATATTCTCCCTTATTTGAAGGGCGAATGGGGATACACAAATTAGAACCAGTCAAAGAAATCCATGTGGTGAAGAAGTATGCCACCTTATTTCAGTTGAGAACCATTGTAGAACTATTGCGATTTTTCAGCTGTGTCCTCATCGTGATTCAAATCATGAATCTTTTGATTGCTTGCCGTACCTGCTACCAGCTACATTTTGAGAGCATACATGGGAGAGGCAGTAATTGGCCAGAATCTGTCTTAATAAAAAATATTTTTTTATCTCATTGACGCTATGTTATATAAGGCCTTCTTCCACACCTCTGTATCTCTTTATAATCTCTCTTACCTGAGTGTCTTGACTACCTTCATCCAGTCATGATATTTTTGTCGCTTGCCATATATTACATTATAGTTTAAAATATATTGTTTGCTTACTTTTTAAATAATGTAAATACAGTCAAAAGTCGTTAATTCGGACACCCATAATCCGGAATGATCTATAATCCGGACCTCAAAGCTACAAACTTTCTGCGCATGCGTCGCGTTGACGCATGCTCGTAAGACCTTTACGGCTGCGAATTTGCGTGTGCGCGTGCGCAAAATACGTTTACGAATGCGCGTTTAATGTATAACGGACGGGAAAAGCTAAGCTAAAATTATCTAATTATGTATTTCAGTTAATGTTGCAGATTGCGTTGTTTCTTAATCTTCTAATTGGATACGGCGTATTATTTTTTGAAGACTGTTAGAGCAATTTTATAAATGTAAGCTTGAACTTTCGATTATGTCAAATAGAATTTCCGATATATATTTACTAATATGTAAAGGATATACGAAGCGAAAGTATCTTTCGGAGTCCATTCAACAGAAAGTGGAATTGCTGCAAAAATGGATAAAGGTTAAACCTTTGTTAATCTAAACCTTAACGTTTGTTTATCTATCTAAACTTTGTTTATCTTTAACGCTGCGCCGCCGCGCAATGAATTGGAAGTTGATCTGTCAGCACTATCCTTATCTTAAGAGCAAATGTTTTTATTTCATTTGGCTTATAATTGCTTACTAAATGTAGTACTCCGTCTTTGATATGATTTAAATCAAATGCCTCGTCATTATAATTCGCTTCCGATAGCGAAGAAAGTGACAGAGGTTATTGAAAACGAAAAAATTTCGATTGACAAATTAGTCGGTATTCTCGACACAGCAATTATAGGACTTGAACAGCGGAACTTTGTAACTGAACAAGAAATTATGTCTGTTTATAGAATTGAAGAGAATGTATTATCACATAAAAAGCGAAGACTCTTAAACAACTTACATTGAAAGAAATGTTTAATAAAGTAAACAAATAAATATTAAGCTTTTTTTTTTTGTAAATTTTGATACCCTTTAGATCATAATTGTTCTTTATTTCGTAAATTACGGTTTCATATTTTTAATTTTATAATTTCTGCATGCCATTTTACCAGATTTAAACTGATGATCTATAATCCGGAAAAATCGATAATCCGGAATCGCCGAAGTCCCGACGAGTCCGGATTAACGACTTTTGACTGTATCATCTTAATGAGTGGAAGTTTTTGAAAACAGGGACTACAATTAGTAATTACAAAAATTTAGCTTAATTGAATTGCACCATAAGCATATCATTTTATTTCATTGAAGTTATATTATACAAAGTTAATACTTGGAAGTTATAGTTCAACATTATATTTTTATTAAGCTATCCATGTAAAACTTTAAAAGTTTTGCTAATGTTATAAAATCAGAATTTATCAGGATAAGCCCTAAACTTTTTTTTAAGGTTCTTAAAAGTTGTTTCAAAATGGTTATTGCTAGTGATTTGGTTTGGGGTCTCAGTGTAATAGAAATGTAAAATGTATATATTTATCTTTTTATGCATTTTTTTACGTGATCGTACAGAATTCATGAAAACATAAACGTCTATATATCTAAGTATATTTTTTCTCCCTTTTCAGACAGACATTGGCACTGCATTGCACGAGGCAGCTATGTATGGTAAATTAGAAGTTGTGAAATTGCTTCTGGATTATGGTATATATATATTTTTTGATTTAAATTTATTCCGTGTAATTTTTAAAATTTAAAAACAGTCATTGTTTTCACTGCAGAGAAATTTAAAGTCAATGACTAAATGAAAAATTCATATCTTGGCAAATGAAGAAACTGCCATTTCAATTGCTTAAGATCTTTTATTTATGTTTCTGGTTAATTAGAACCAATCTTTAAAACGAAATGAGTTATGGTTTAATTTGAGAAAAATTTAATTTTGATAATAATGTGGTACCTTTCAATTGGTACATTGAGCAATTGCAATGTTTTTCTTTTCACTTGACTGGCAATAATTTACACACTAACTCATTTTGCTCAGTATTTTTTAACTGTTACCGTTTATCCCTTCTCAGTACTTGAGTCTTCTACTTTTTTTTCCGCTGCATTTTTTTGAAATTATTTCAAAGTTTTAGTCACTTAATTCCTGAACTTAAAGTTGCTGTTCAACAGAAAATGGTTAGCCTTCTAGCAGGCTTGATGAAGCATGGGATTTATATTTCGATGGCCAAACTTCAGGAATGCTTGTGAAAAGATAGAAAGCATATGGTTGATGTTTAAAACAACAAACAAATCATTGACAGAATTTAAATATTAAAATATAAGATACATTAAGAATTGATTGTGTAATATTAATTAAAAAATGTGAGAAAGTCTTCCCAAATTCCTGTACTATACTATTCTTTATTCATATATAGTGATAGACATTCTGTAATTCTTTTTGTTACTGTTGTATTTTACTAATGATGCTCAATAAATCTCTGAAATTATGTTGTTTTGTCATCTGATGCAGTTTGAAATATCAAAATATTACTCTATAGTCTTTGTATAACAGTTATGTGGTATTAAGTTGTTACTTTAATTGGAAAGTCAATCTTTGTATATATCAGGAAATTGTTTCAGTGTTTTATTTCTTAGCTTCTTATTTAAAGTGGAAAAATGAATATTTATTTTATTTATATTCTATAATAGTTGCATTGTAATGTCAAAATTAATTTAAGTTCAATATGCAATACAGTTCTCTGCACAGTGTAAAAGTAGGTCAACTTATGTCTTTAATTTATTGAGAAAATATTAGATTTTAGTGATCTTCATTTTCAGAAGTCTTAAGAATTGATGTCATAAATCTAAAAGTAATTTGTTAATAACAAATAACTCAGACTTATTCTTTAGTTTGCTAGTCTAATTAAAATGACATTTTAAAACTTATTTATGATATATGGCTTAACATATTGCAAGCAGAAACTATATTGTATGTGACTTCTACTGTAGATAAGCAGTTTTTCATACTAAAATATGCTTTATGAAAACTAAAAATGTAAAGCATATTAATTAACATTCATAATTCTTTTTAGGTATCAATCCAAATCTTGAAAATATTAGGAAAAGAACTGTTTTTGATATTTTGGATGATCTGAACACATGCATTGCAAAGCAGATTGAGGAGGTTATAAAAGGTAAATTTACTTACTCCTTTATACTTGTGACTTTTCTAGTTTGTTGAAATTCAATGGAAATATAACTTGCATTTGAATAAAAAATGTTCAGTGCTAATTATTACAAACAAGACTTCTCAGAAGGTTATGTTTTGAGTCCATGTTATTCACAGAAATCCTTCTCTAAGATGACCACTCAAGATTTCAGATTTTCACCTTTCATAGTGTTGGTTTTCTTAGAGAATCTGACTGTTAGTGATGACAACTATTGATTTACCTAATAATTTGCCCCACTCAAGGCTGTTCTTACATTAGAGCTGTATAGACTGTAGTTTGTGAAAATATAATTTTAATTCATATGCGTGAGTAAATATTAGCTGGAATCAATTTATTATCTTTAATATATTACATTTCTGTATAATTTACTTATAAAATTGTAATACTGGCCAAGTTGAGCTGTAAATTGTATTTACATGTTGAGCGATACCATTAAGTGCATCATAATACTGGAGTTACATTTCACTTTCAGCTAATAAGTAATTTTAGAATCAAAATATGCCTCAAACTCACAGTATGTTATGTCCTGTGCTACACAGGCATGCCAAGAATAACTTTGAGTAGTGTAGTGATAATTCTTTTCCAGTATAATTGAGTTATTTCTATTTATCATATGTGACAAGTGTACATCACGTGGACAATGCAATATTGTATTTTATTGTTCAACTCAATTAAGGTTTCTATTTATTTAAATAATTCTTATGAGAGGTGTTATTTTATTTATATTTTGGGATAAAAATAATTTTTACCCATGAACTTAAGCAACAAAGGTAATGAATGACACAGATGGCAAAAGTAGAGAGTCTCTTAACACGTTGAGCACCATGTCAGCCATATGTGGCTGACACTAGACTTTCCGTTTCCGTTAGTGGAGAGAGTTCTGAGAGTTCACTATATAAGTAAGTAATGGGTCTGGAATTGATCATGCTTTCAGTCTCAATGAATACTGTTTAGAATTCATTGAGATAAAGCAATGAATGGCCAACAGTTTTTCTAAGACTTGTTTTGATTGTTCTGATCATTCTCTTCCATAATCCTCCTAACCATGCTCCCCTTTTAACTATAAACTTCTAATGAATATTGTAAAAAGAAGGGAATTTTTATGAGGGTATCAGGAATACTGATCCAATTTTTTTTTAAGTTCAGTGTCTGTGTGCTTGAATGATCTTGCATTATTGCTGTGTATTGTTGAAAGAGCTCTCGTCGAGCTATAAATCATCTAAAGGCTAATAAGTATGCTTCCGTATTCATGGAGTACCAGCCCTGTCACAAGTCACTGCACAAGTAAATAGTAGAAGGTAATATTTATTGTTGCTTTCCTTAGAGAAAAATGGTTCTGCCTAGTCCAATCCAGTCATAGCATAGGTTGGTGACTAAAGAATTCGATCCAGAGGAAGTGGAGCTACATCTTGAACTCTCGAGTGAACATTCTATTATTTGCAAATTATGCATGTGATGAACAAGGATTTAATTCGTCTCCTTTTGATGACGCAAAATTTTTCATGCAGGTGTGTCAGAGCGGAGTCCACTCTGGAATAAAATACCCTTTCATGTGTATTGTAAATTAACAGATCTGTGTAACTTTACATAACTTTGAGGGCAGTATCCATGGATGCTTTGCAGATTCCAGACAGTCTGCAAATTGTATTCTGCTTTTAACCGTAGAAGTCCGTATTTGTCGAGCTCAGGATTCAGTGAGTAAATGTAGGAAGGACCCTCTGTCATATGACTTCCATTGAGATAAATTGAGAATTTCTTTTTTTATATATTGAAATTGAGTGTTTTTAATCCAATATTTTTGCACATTCATAATTTCAGAAGTAATTATTCATCCACAAAGTATTTCAGACCTAGGGTTAGAATTGTTAATGTATCTATATATCTACGCTTTCGGTATACCTTACTTAATTTGCTAAATTGATTTAAATCGAGCAGAGAATTAGAACTTTGCATGATGTTCTTGTTGTTAGTGGCAGCTTTCAGGACACTAAGTGTGTTTCTCTTTCCTATGAATATCTCCTCTGCATTTGCCTCCATGTTTAGTCTCTTAGGCCACAAATTTTCAGACTCGAGAAGCCAGCTTGGTCTGTTTTGCCATAATGGATTTGAGATGATGGTGGCAGCTCATTTCTCTCACGATAAAAGCCTATCAATTGCTGAACAATGAAGTTGCTGAACACTAGTAGTTTGGTCTGAGGTTCAAATCATGCAAATAGGCTGGCTGCACGGGCATTTTTGGTTTGCCCCATGTGTAACATGTAATATGAGCCAGTTTCCTTTAGAAAGTCCTCCATGAAGGCATCCCTCGCCTTAGGCAGATAGCCCTCGAGGCTTTGCCATAAACAAATAAACGAAACCAAATCCAACCCCTCAAGATAGTAGGTCTGCTGGGTTATGTTTTCCATTGCAATGGTACCACTTGTTAGCGTTGCTAATTGTCTGGATTTTTGCTATGCAGTTGCCAACAAACAGCTTCCAGAAATTTGGTGATTTCCTTATCCAATGCAGCTTTGTTTGGGAGTAATTCCAAAAAATAATATTATTGCTTGACATAGACAGGATGTGTTTTAAATATTTAGCTAAGTGAGCCACTACAACAGCTCTCATTAGCTCGCATCTGGGAGGGGGTTAAAGATTTGAGGGAAGCTATTTTACTTTTTGCCATTATGAAACTGGTTTTAATTTCCTTATTTTCACCAGCATATCTATAATATGCCACTGCTCTAAAAGCTATGTGTGTGGCACTTCAAAAAAATATGAATGTTCATATAATTAATATCATAAAAAAATTTTCTGCGGAAATCAGGGGTGTTTAAACATTTCATTTCTGCACGCCAGTCCATCCACATTTTTTCAGCGCACTTCCCACTCTAAACCCAGAAGACAAATGTCTTGTAACATGATCTTAATTTGAACTATAAATGGTTCAAAATACCCAATAGGGTCAAATACTTTAGCAACAGTTTTCAACTGTCACAACAGTCTTTTTGTATTGTCTCTTTACCAGTTCCATCTGACTCCTGAACTGGTTTCAAGTTTAGCTTTATAACATTATCATTAGGATCCGAAACCATGCGCAAAAATTTCTCATTTCTTTATTGAGATTATCTTTTCCTTTTGACTTCATCCATGAGCATTTAATTAATCTGAATTCGATTTCAGTTTTCTCAAATTCATACTTGAATCCTGGAAAATATTTACAGCATCTACCTAAAATTGGTAATTTAAAATTACTGAGACATCTAATTTAATGTTAATTACTTAATACCCATGAAATCAGAAACAAAATCCTACATGCACACATAAACTTGTGTTTGTGTTTAATCAGCTATGGGAAAGCTCACGAGGTCTGAAAGTCCAATGGAAAAGTGCTTGGTTTTAAGAAAAAATTATTTATTTATTTAGCATTCACATTTTGTTTTGGAAATATCATGAAAATGAATGTACATGTGCTGAACCTTCAGAATAAATGTGGCCATTTATGATAGCAATAAAAATGGAAGTGCCTTGCAACTGATTGGACATAGATTTGCTATATGATATAAGTTGTGGTGACAAAGCCACAAAACTTTTGAATTCACTGAGCCTAACCTTTAACTGCTGTGAGCGACATTTGCCATTAAATGTTTCCATTCCTTAAAATAATTAATTGGTATTTCCCTTCCTAGTACGTTCCTAAACCAGTTATCCAAGGTCACTTAACATGGGTCATTTGGATAGCTGTATTTCTTTTAATTTTAATCCCCCGCCCCCCTCAGCAATCTGTGAGGCAGATCATGGCAGATGCGATTTAGTTTTCAGCCGGCAGAGTTCACTTTTCATTGTTTTTACATATTTCGCCTTTTTATAAGTATTCTTGAAATAGCTTTAAATGTGTGCAGAAAACGTTTTATATATCTTACCCAAGATAGAATTGAAGAAATTTTTCAAAATTTTTCTGACTTAGAGTTTTCTAATGAAAGTTCTAATCATGAAATTATTGAGAGTGACCACGATACAAATTCAGAAATATCTGCCGATTAAAACAAAGATCCATGTTCTCCTGATTTTTTTAACTGGAAAAAAAATGAATTCAAATGGGTTACTCAAGAGTCCAACAAGGCTGTTCGGACAGGTAAGCACAATATTATTTTGTGCTTACCAGGTTTGAAAAGTGCAGTAAGAATAAGTCCTGAAGCCAAAGAAGCTTGGAACTTACTTTTTGATGAAAATATGGTAAGAATTATTGTAAAATGGACTAATGTCAAAATTAATGAAAATAGAATTAAATATTCTAATCCTAGAAGACATGAACTAATCGATATTGATGAAACTGAAAATTGAACCTTTTTCGGACTTTAACTATAATTCAATAGTATTCAAATCAAATCGGGAAAATAATGATAGTTTATTTGCAACAGATGGTACAGGGCGTGAAATATTCCGCTGCCTTACTACTAAAGTAAGGTTTTTATTTTTCTCTGTTCCTTACGATTTAATAGCCCTGAAAGAAGAAAGGAGTGATGGCAAGTGACAGCGCAGTGGCCACTTGAGGAATATTCAGTACAGTTTTAAAGAATCATCAACATAATTATTCCATTGGAGAATGTGTCTGTATTGATGAGATGTTGGTGAAATTCAGAGGATGGTGTAAATATAAAAAGTATATGAAAAAAAAAAAAAAATCCTGCCTAAAAAAAATTCCTAATGTGTCTACAGCAGGATTATGTAGTTTTGCATTTTTGAAAATATGTTATGTATGGCAAAATGAAGATCTTGTGCAAGTTGCATTTCCTGATCTTGTCAAGTTAATAAAAGCAGTTAAATAAAATTTTACACCATTTTATAAAGTTCTTTAACGTTTTTCTCACCTGTGTACTAGCATTGACTGTGAAAAACCATGCAAATATTGATTGTAACGAAAATTATGCTGTCATTACTGTTGAAAATATTAAGTTACATAGGGTTTGTGTAGTCCACAAGAGTTCTAAAATGTTTTGGGAACGATTTCCTAAATCATTCAAAGCCTTGAATGTTGATCAGAATGTTCAAAATGTCTTTTCCTTTTGTCTTCTTTTTTCCTTTTTTGAAATTTTGCTTCTTTACATTTCTTTCAAGTTCTTTTCATTACATACTCTATGGCAGCTATTCTCTGTGTAAATTAGCATTTTGGACAAATAAGGCATTCAAACCATATAGCTGGAAATCATCTGCTCCCAAGCAAAGTGTTAACTGACCTTCCAAAGTTGGTCATATCGATAACAATCCATTTACATTAGATCCAAACTATTCCTTGATCTTTGAATAAGAATCAAATTATCAGTAAACCAAGAAAGTAAAGTACATGAGAGATTGTATTTTATTATAGTATCCATTCATATTATTTAAATCATTAAAAATGTTGAAAGGAAATGAATAAATAACATTTAATTTTCCTCAACAAAGAAACAGTCTTGATAATTAGAGTTGCTGATGTTTAGAATCCCAATAAGTAAGACTGTTATAAAATTGAATAATTGTGAAAATGGATTGGAAAATGGATCCATGTGAAAATGGATTTTTTTTTTTTTTTTTTCTTGCAGATCATTTGACTCTTATAAAGCTTGATGTTGGTAGCAATGACTCTCTATCTTCAATTCTGCCACCACAGGGATTTGTTGTAGGTACACATATGGACTCTTTATTACCTGAAAGATGTAGCCTTTCTGAAATAACACCTCCTCGACAGTTTTGTTCACCTGCTCTAGATGAGGCATTGTATGATATTCCACCGCCACCAAAATTAGTTAGTCAGAGCTCTCCAAGGTAAATTATTTTTATGCTTTTTATTATAATTGTATTTATATGTAAATAAAAATAAATTATGGAAAATGCTAAGTGAATCACATTATCTCTCATTCCATGAATTAAGCTTGAATATCTTCTTTTTATAATAATATTATGCATACATAAACAGTAGTAGAAAGTGAAAACAGTATCTGTATCAAAATATGATATGCTAGTCTAAGTTGTAAGGTCATTCATAATGCCAAAAGAGAATGGAAATCAATAGCACGATTGAAATCTACTTGATGAGTATTTAAAATGCAGGACATTAAGTGAAATGCAATTTTTTTGTTGCACTTTATGTTGGTCTTGACAGAATCTTTTTTGTTCCAAAATAATCATAATGGTTCATATAAAATAGAGGATGAGGAACCTATCAGGCTCCATTGCAATATCAGCAACAAATATTGTTTATAATAGTCTTAGTGATTAAATGTCAAATTGTACTTAATGGTTAATCCAGTGTTATTGAATATGTCATTATCTGCTTTTCTGTCACTTCACTATTCTTTTGGAAAATATACAGCTTAAGCCTATTATCACATAAGAAGCATGTATAATCATTGGGGAAAAAAGCTTTCAAAATGAATAGGTGAAAATGATTTAATTTTTTAAACCTTAACAGTTCTTCTGGTTAAGAACTCAGATCAAAACGTAAAATAGCCTCAAGTAAATTGAAAAATCAAAATTCTATTTTGAGTGCAAAAATGAGATCATTTAATGCTAGTGTAATTTGCAGATACCTTACTACAAATCATATGTGCAATATGAACAGAAACATTTTCCCATAGAAAACATGTTCACTCCCATAGCAACTAGCCTTCATATGATGCACCAGTGGTAGTTGAAATTACTCACAAGAAATAACGCTTGTGTACTTAATAAATTTCAAAAGGAAAGTAAGTACCTGTTAGTAGCCATGTTTTATTTCAAAACTTTTAATTCAGTCCTCCATTGTAATAGGATATATCTATACTTAGACATTTTAGTTGTTATGAAATAAACAACTTATATTAGAAAATCTGCGAATATGTATATATATATAAATGAGGTTCACTCATAATTTTGTAAAAAAGATAAGCCATTAACTTCACAACATTTGCAAAAAATGCTGTAAGGAATAAAGGAAGGAAAAACACGGTTTTTATAATTAATAAGCAGTATTAATATTGTTTTGCAAATTACTACTATTCATGATGTTGCTTTTGAAGCTTAGTCTTTTCTGTTCTCTCTGCTTCAATACTTATTTCATGAAAGTTCTTTAAATGTAATAAAAACCATAAAACAATATACAGTCAAAAGTCTTTAATCCGGACTCGTCGGGACTTCAGCGATTCCGGATTATCGATTTTTCCGGATTATAGATCATCAGTTTAAATCTCGTAAGATGGCATGCAGAAATTATAAAATTAAAAATATGAAACCGTAATTTATAAAATAATGAGCAATTATAATCTAAAGGGTATCAAAATTTACAAAAAAAGAAGGTTAATATTTATTTGTTTACTTTATTAAACATTTCTTTCAACGCGCGCATGCGTGAAGCATACCTTACGCATAGCCGAAATTAGAAAATTGCAACCAGAAAACTATTTGATTTGTATTCGTGATATTTATAATGACGAGGAATTTGATTTAAATCATATCAAAGACAGAGTAAATCGAGATTAAATACTACATATAGTAAGGAATTATAAGCCGAATAAAATAAAAACATCTGCCCTGAAGATAACGATAGTGCTGACAGATCAACTTCCAGTTCATTATGCGCTGGGATGTCCCCTCCTCCCGTGCAGAGCAGCGTGAAATTGATAAACAGATTTCAGAACGGTTAGATAAACAAAGGATATGGCTTCATCCATTTTTTATAGCAATTCGTTTTTTGTTTGATTGACATCGAAACATACTTTCATTTTCTAAATCCTTTGGGAGCTCCAGCATCGGAAATTCTATTTGACATAATCGAAAGTTCAAGCTTACTTTTATAAAATTGCTCTTACAGTCTGCAAAAAATAATAAGCTGGATCCAATTCGAAGATTAAGGAACAACGCAATCATCAACATTAACTGAAATAGATAATTAGAGCTTATACCGTCCGTTATACATTAAACGTGCACACGAAAACGTATTTTGCACTTGCGCAAACGCATATGCGCAGTTTTAAATGCCTTGCGCGCATGCGTAAAACGCCTATGCGCATTCTGAATTAACGACTTTTGACTGTATAACACAAAAAACATTCCGTTAATCTTCTCACCTTAACACTGCAAAAACAGTTCATTTCTTTTCATATGAATGTATTTCTTAATATACTTCAAGCACATATACTGATATATTATTTTATGCGTTTACAATAAAAACAACACAATAGTTTTGCAGGTGCATGTTGGTATGAAATGCACTTTTGCATGTGTTTTGACAGCTGCTTGAAATCAGAAATCTCTTTTGAAATACTGATTGGATAACAATGATTATTTATAAACCTTAGAGAATTAATGGGCAGAAATTTGGCAGTGAGCTTCAAAGCAGATAAATCATGCAAGAAAAGTAGTGAGAAGCCAAATGAAAGAACAGTGCAATTTAATGTTAAGAAATGTGGTGTAAAATATGTTTGAATATGTATTTCCTGAATGAGCTGTGATGGTGTTAACCTGCTTATGCGCAAGTTTTTTTGTTAATTTTACTCATTATTAATGAACTTATATCGCTTAATATGAAAGGTGTAAATATACTTTAGACATCAAAGTGATCACGATTGGCCATATTTGCTGAGTAAATGAATGTCCTATTTATGAGACACTGGGCATATGTGTAAGCAAAATACACCTGTACTCATATTTGAAACTTAAAGTGTTGCAAATCATTAATAATTAGTAATGGTTAATATAAATTTGATTGAATTACTCAAAGCAATGTTAATTTAAAAACATTTCACATACTATGAACAATGGAAATGTAAAAACAATTATTTTTCATGATATTATTGAAAGCATTTATCATGCAGTCCAATGCTATATTTCAATGTGGTCTTGCTTGAACACTGAGCACATCGCAATTGTGTTTTACTTACAGCAATTGTGTGGCCAATTTGGTCAGATCAAATTTCATTGGTCACACGCGTATTAGTCTTTGCTGAAGTGATTGTTCTTCCAAGTTTGGGAAGCACTCCAAATCATTTGAGATAGTTCAGTGAAATGTTGCTGTGAAATCCATTGCTATTGGTTGTAGTTGATTCATTCTGTCCTGTTTCCTGCAAAAGACGTGATGGAGAAGCCATGCATTTTGAATTAAATGCACCTGTATTTGAAACTTTAACATCAGTTAAAAACAAGGTATTAAAAAACATCAATCAAAAGGCATAGCAAATGGAAACTATCATTTCTTTCCACAGAATTCAATGTGATACTTGAAATATTATTGTCCGTTTGATCGTACCTCCCATAATCTTGTTGTATGTCATAATTACATGAGGCTGAGGCACTGTGATCTTCTGTTTCTCAGAAGCAGACCAGCATTTGGCTGAACCTAATGGATTTATTCCAGTACAGTTTGAAGCTGTACTGGGGCTTTCTAACATGCAATTATTACACCAGATGACATGTCTTTCTTAAATCGATAACACCTGTTACTTTCCCCCCTCAGATTTTTAATGGTTTCAACAGGATCGTTTCCAATCCTGTTTTTTTTTCTGGCTGTACTTACAATCACAAATCCAGAATTTGATAACTCCTCAGTGAGTTTTATGGAAGTAAAGTAATTGTCTATTGCTATAGTAAATCTATATTTGGGTGTATCTGAAATAATTGACCGAAGTTTTCCAGTAAATAACAATTAGAACTTTTTGTATACACAAAATAATATAAATCATATTTTCTTTTTAATAATATGCCTAATCTGAAACAAAACATTGCATTCCAAGAAAAAGTTAAGAATTGGTTTTTTTGACAATTTTATGAATATATTTTCTGTACACACAAATATATTTTAGCAAATATTGTAGAATTTAAATAATTTGTAAACAGTAATAGTAATAAGAGAGTAGATTTTGAAGTAGTATCACATAAAACATGCATATTTTTAATAAAAATGTGTTTAGGTTATTGATAAGACAGCAAAATCTTTTTGGCTTAATGCACTCACAAATGCCCAATGTCCAATAAACAGGACGCAAAAAATAAATATAATTACACAAAAATGATATTGTTATTTTTGCAAAATAACTTCGTAGTCTTTTGTGATCTATTTTCAGCAAATCAGCTTTAACTCTCTTAGTTCTATGAATAAGAAGTTTGCAAAAAATACTTCCTGTGGCTAGCTACCCTTGACGTGCCACTGCTTGATGTGCCTATAAAAATAACTTGTTCTCTAGAATAATTTTAATGTCGGTCCAGTGGCTCCATCTTTCGCTAACTTTAAGAAAACCCTCAGGCATATGAAAAAATTGCTTTGGTTAAAGGATATATGCATTACAAGATTTCCTTCACAGTAATTTCCAAGCGTCCCATATTTTAGCCACTGGGCATAAATGGGCTAAATAAATGCAGTTCCAAAATCTGGATGCCCATTATTCTGAATTGGGATCTCCGGCAAACAAACAACACCCCCCCCCAAAAAAAAACTTTTAAAGTTTAGGAATGGAGTATATAATCCTTGAGAAAAAGTAGGTGTGTTGTAAAAAGAAATTTTTCCCAGCTGAGATTCCTGCATGTCACTTTCAAGCACCTATTGTCTAAGCAGTCATACCTTTGCAAATACATTAATTGCCACTGTATTGACATTGCCCATGACCACACATTTGGACCTTGAGCAGTTGTGGAGGGTTAGCATTTTCCTACTTGATGTAAACAATAACTGAAGCCACAAGATATCTTTGTTTGGAGTGGGTTGTTGCTCATCCTAGTTTTATTTTGTTGGCATAGCAGCAGGGTGGGTTAAAAAATTTCATTCTTTGAAATTGGGCTCAATGTTTGTTTCCCCT